TTGAGATTTCCTTATATTTTACTCAGGAACGACGCTCCCGCTGGAGACTTCTTCGCGATTGAATCAAGATTTCGTCGCAATTTAATCAAGACCCCCGCTCCCGCCAGAGAACCCCTCACATTTAATTCAGGAATTGCGCTTTCGCCTGTGACTTCCATGCAATTTATTCAGAAATCGCGCTTTCGACGCTCAGGAAACACGCTGCGCCAAGGACGCCGTCACAATTTGTGTTAGGAGTCGCGCTCTCGCCATACTCAGGCATCCCGCTTGAATGTCCCACCCGCCCGACCCGCCCGTCAGGGGATCGCCCGCCCGTCGTGGGCTCCCGCCCGAGACTTCCTTCAGGAACGGCGCTTTCGCTTAGGACTATCTCGAATGTTCACGCCCTTACCTTCCTGCTCCTCCTCCCTCTCCCTCTTCCCTCCTCCCTCCTCTCCTCCCTTCTCTCTCCCTCCTCTCTTCCCTCATCCTTATGCCTCTCTGCCCTATCCCCTCTCCCTCCTCTCCCTCCTCCCTCCTCCCTTCCCTCTGCTGCCTCCTCCTTCCCTCTTCTTTTTGTTTTTTTTTTTCTCTCTCTCTCTCTCTCTCCCCTCTCTCTCTATTTCTCTACCTCTCTTTTATCTGTCTTTCTCTTTCTCTCTCTCTCTCTGCCCCTAATCAACCGCCCCCCTCTTCGCTCCTTCTCTTCTGGCGTTTTCCCTCTTCCTTCGTCCCTCCCCCCCGTTCCTCCCATTCTCCCTCGTTCTCCCCCTCCTCTTTTTGCAGGGCCCACACCAATTCCAATGGCGGGCACATGTGCGCCCACGACGGATTGTCCGCCCGTTCAGGTTTGCCCGCCTGTCTAAGCCCGCCGCCCCCCGCAAAGAGACTGAATCCTCCCAAAGGGGGTGTGATCGAAGACGAAGAGGGCGGGTATCGAGGGTGTGGGGAACTCGTTTTTTGAATGACACACGGGCAAGTAAGAGCGAACAGTGTTAAAATGATTGTTGTTGTTGAGTTCTCACTTCTGAAGAACAATTATTGTTGATCCCCCCCACCGGTGCATATGGTTTTTTCGCAATGAAAGTGTGCCCTCGACGCTCGCGCCCAGTTTTTTGACAGTGACAGTCTTGATGCTCAAACTGGGCCCCTGGCCCCCGGGTTACAACAACAACGGCTCCCGCCAAAGACTTCCTCACAATCCGTAAGGGCTTCGCCCCCTGCCGCCGGCCCCCTCTCTCGGAGAATGGGCCATGGAAAAGCTAAGTCATGAGGCCTTGGCGCTGTCGTGAAGCAGTATCGAAACTTCATGCGAAGCCGATTCGCAATCAGCAAAACCAACTGATCACAAGAGGGGTTACCACACCTGGCGATTGGTAAGACGTGTATGGTTTACGGGCTTGGTTACCACACCTTGCGATTAAAGGGCCGAGGGAGTTCTCGCAGTTTGGGTTACCACGCCGCATTGGGTTGTGGGGCGACCGAAGGCAAAAGAAAATGGCAAATCCCTGTGTTTTTGGACCCTGACCCCGCGGATCTGCGTGAGGGGTGGCACCGAATTTCAGAAATGTGGCAAATCCCATGTGTTTTTGGACCCTGACCCCGCGGATCTGCGTGAGGGGTGGCACCGAATTTCAGAAATGTGGCAAATCCCTTGTGTTTTTGGACCCTGACCCCGCGGATCTGCGTGAGGGGTGGCACCGAATTTCAGAAATGTGGCAAATCCCCTGTGTTTTTGGACCCTGACCCCGCGGATCTGCGTGAGGGGTGGCACCGAATTTCAGAAATGTGGCAAATCCCTGTGTTTTTGGACCCTGACCCCGCGGATCTGCGTGAGGGGTGGCACCGAATTTCAGAAATGTGGCAAATCCCTTGTGTTTTTGGACCCTGACCCCGCGGATCTGCGTAAGGGGTGGCACCGAATTTCAGAAATGTGGCAAATCCCCTGTGTTTTTGGACCCTGACCCCGCGGATCTGCGTGAGGGGCGTCGATTTCGAGCCCCCCCAGCAATTCAGACAACGCGCCCAGGAGACGCTAAAAATCTTGTTTGGGCCTCCCCCCCCCTCGCGCGGTCAATCAATTAGTGACAATAACCAGCAAGAAGCAGAACTGTAACGCTGGAAACTACAACCTACGACTGGTACAGGAAACTGCGAATCACGGGCCTACAGCCTGGTGGCCCCACAAGGGGGCCGGCGGATTTAGCCCGGACCCCCGCTGGGGGAAAACATTGGCTGGCACATTTACATCGTCGGAGACGGGTGTGGGCACACCGTCTTCTTGTTCACGACGCGAGCATCTGATTCCAGTGTTGTTTGTTCCGCCCATGGTGACCGCTGCTGAGACCCAGGGTTACAGGAAAGTGTCCCACAAGGGGCCCCGAAGGTGCACGAAATGTCAACTTTTCTTCCCCCCTCCCCGCTTGTTGCCCCCGTCAAGCAAATGGCCAGCGCTAGTGCGCCCGTCAGAGATTTGGGTTTCGGACCACCAGCAGCCAGCCAGCGCGAGCCCCCTGTTGCGCTTACCGAGCTTTCCGACGATCTGATTTTGTCGACTGGTGTCTGTGTCCTTGATTTTGCAACCTGGGGACCGTCATTTGGGCTTCGGGACAATGAGACATGGATCTGGGACGAAGACGTCGCCCCAGGCAAGCGGTCGGGACCTCTTGGGGCTGCGGACTGGACAAGCACACCGGGAGTGTCGGGGTATGCAGATGGCCTCTGCACTTTGAGACATGATGGGGAGAGGCTGCCCCTGCTGATGGAGAGACGTGGGAACGGTCCCGCACGCTGGGCAATTGCGCGTGGGACCCCAAGCAGGGGCTTGAGAGACGTGCCGCGGCCAGCAGGGCGGAGAGCGAGGGGAAGCGCCAAGCCACAACGTGGTTTGTGGCACACTGGCCAGGGCCGCCTACGAGCCGATTCGATTCGGGTCGAATCGCTGGCTGGTGCCGCGATTGCGATCCGGTTCGGTTCGGTCGAAGTCAGAGGAATCGGCAGGGGCCAGCTGGAGCCGGGCGCGGCGGTTTCGATTTGATTCGATTAAGGACACTTCATTTGCGATCCGGTCTGTTTCCGATCCGGTCGGATTTCGCGGTCCGATCCAGCTCAAGCCTGCCAGCGAGCCACCCCAAACATCCCCCGCCATGCGAAGGCAACGGGGCCGGTCGTGGCTAGTGCCGCACCAGAAAGAGGCTCGGGACGGTGACGCTCAAGTGCGCCACCTGACGAATCGTCGCTGCGCCAGGGGAAGCATCTTCCAATAGCAGAGGGGTTCTAAAATACATGCGCTGCTGGAACACGTATGTGCAGTTCACGATGGATCGCCATTCAGTTTGTCATGTGTTCATGATGTTCCTTTTGTCGTGCTGTGGTGTTTCTAAGCTTTTGTTCGAAACAGCTGGCGCAATTAGACGTTGTAAGAATTTGTAGCTCTTGTGTCTGGCCTCGGAGTCGTGATGTCGCCCGAGTGGCTCTGCAGAGTGCGCCAGGGTCTGTGAGGCGTGTGCTCCTGGATGTAGAGGCTGTTTGGTTGTGCACCTCGGCGAGGCACTGTTTTTAGGTGGGCGCTGGCCGAACTATCGCTCGACTTTTCTCGTGTGTGGGATGCTGTGGCTGGAGCGTGGGGGGGAATCGCCGATCGTGGCCATATCCCAGCGTCCCCCGCTGTCGCCACTGCGAACAGCGTCTACGTCGAGAACCCCTGCCCCTGCACATGTGCTGCGACTGGTACGCGAGGGAGGTGCATTGACGTGCCGCTCGTAGGCTCACCCGTTCTGCGCGCGTGCAGGCGGGCGTACGTTCTGCGCGCGCGGCCTCGAGGGTCGGCGGCGCCGTGCTCTGCAGTGGTCGCGCGCGTGGAGCCCGCTGCGACGCACGCGGGTCGAGGAGAGCTACAGGATCGCCAGACATCCGACTCCAGGCCTCCCCAGAGGTCTCACGCCCTGGCCTCACGACGGGCGGTTTCGCACCGCTTTTGGCCTCTGGGGGCCCATCACCGGGCCTCGGGGCTGTCGACGGAACGACCTGGGATGAAAAGCAGGTCCCGGGACCGGGGTCCAGACCTTTTTGTGGGTCGACGTTGTAAACAAAAAAACACGACGTCGGAATTGTGGGGAGGAGGGAGGAAGGAGAGAGAGAGACGTTTCGAAGCCTCCTAGATCGGGTCCGAGTAGGTGGGGTCGGAAGCTTGCGCCGCATCGCCGATGAATCGGCGATGCGGCTCGATGTGGAGCCGTTGCATCGCGATGCATCGGTGTTGTGTCGTCGATGCGGCGCAATCCTCTGACCCTTCTTTTATTAACCGAGCCAATTTCGGAGGCCTCTACTGGCGACGTGATGTTTTGAATCCTGGCGTGTTTCCTGGATGGAAGACCCTGAGGCCCTTATTATTACCTCCCTCCTCCCTCCTCCGCCTCCCCCGACCAGTCCTAGCTTTCAGTCGGGCATGTCCCTCTACAAGAGGAACATTCAATAATAGTCAAAAGTAATCTGGGGACGATTTTCCGACTATTTTTCACTGTTTTTCATTTTTCCCTGCCAAATCCGCCCTTAGGAGGACATGCCCGACCTAATCATAGCTCACCCCACGAGGCGCGCTTCGACCGTCGCGGCCTGTGCGGGATAGCTGCCCTTCTCCAGGGGGCTGCGCGGGGGCGAGAAGATGACCGCCTGTCGCGCATCGCACGGCGCGACGTGCGAGCTTAAAGTTGGGATCTTTGGCTTGCCGTGTCGCGCCGCCAGTTCTGGCTCACCACGCCTCGGTGAGACACGCTATCCACTTCTGGGGCCTCAAGCGTCAACGTCACGAGCCTTTCCCAGACTCCCGCCCCGCGGAGCGCGACACGCTATCCTGGGCCGCCGCCGCGACGCGCTACCCAACATCTCTTGACCGGAAGGTGGCCTAGGCAACGCTGCCAGATTGGGCCCGTGCCGTTTTCTTTCTTGGTAGGGGGGAGGGGGCTGAGGATATGTTGTGTATACTGCTTCACGAGAGAAGGCAGGGCGGCCGGAGAAGGAAGAGCCTGGCGACCCTTCCACTGGACCAGCTCTTCCACATTCTCAGGACGGCCGATGTGCAGTGGGGGTTGCTGTGATGGTTTCGCGACAGCTCTTGTGTGCGGATCACGCGTGGCGTTCGGGGTGAGCGAGCATGCTTAGGGGATGACGAAGGAACGGAGTATCAGGATGAGGAAGAGAAAGGCCAGAAACAGGACGACCAGAAGCTCAATGGAAACGAGGATGGGGAATTTGGATTAAGATGAGGAAGAAGACTATCAACTTTGTCATGTATGAGGAGGCTTCATACTGATACGGCGAGCCGTATATGTATGTATGTATATATGTATATATATATATGTATACACGACAAGCGCTCACAGCTGGTGCTCTTCAGTCCCTCCTCAAGCCCTACAACCCTCCAGATCCGTTCCTGGGGACGACCCCCTTGCTGTTGCCGGTTCTGCTGCTGCTGCTGCTGCTCCTCCTCCTCTAACTTCCCCGCGTAGCCCAACAGGAGGAATAACCAGAAATGGGAAGGGAAACGGGGCGGGGAAAGAGGGAGCCACACACACATACTGAGTTCTCCGAGTGCTTCTTTTCCCAGAGGGCCCAGGGGCTCAGAGACCCACGCCAGCAGCCATAACCCGAGGAGCGATTCAAAAGCGCAGCACGTGCTAGGACATGAGGGGAGACATTGGTTCGAGGCTGTGCTGCGCGCAAGCCAGCGTGGGCACATGCCGTGCATGACATGTCGGGCGCTGAAGAAGTCACCCCCAGATAGAAGGACACATAAGAAGAGACAATGCGTCTATCGCCACTCAGCCATGGGACTCGCTATCTCTGCCGTCTCACAATTTCGGCGGAGCGAGTCTACTTCCCCCTCCTTCTGTCTTGTTCGCTTGCCTCATGGTGCTCATTCCCCTGTACCCCCTCCACTCTTGCCTCCTGCGGGTGCTCCTTTTCCCATGCTTACTTCACTATCGCTTCTCCGCCATGCTTCCTATGCTACGTCGTTCATTTTTCCTAGTCTGTCTACTCAGTCTCGTGCTCAACGCTTCGACAGCATTCCCTCTCTAATGCCCCCTTGGCTCCGCAACGCTTTGGGCATCATTCCGCGCGCGAGGACTCAGAACGCATCTCGCGAGGCCAGGCATACCAGCCGCGAGTTTAGGGGATTGGAGGGCAGGCGCTGATCAAGGAGGTGTAAGGGATGCGGTGTCATTTGCTGCGTCCACACACGCAGCGCCCAATCTGTTCCTTTGAGGGTGGCAGAAGCCATGCTGGTTGCTTCAATGTCTGCCAGTGGGTACCAAGAAACCTACTTACATCGAAGTGTGTCCAGGGTCCCAGGGCGGATGGCGAAAGGGAGGCGGTAAAGGAGGAGGATGAGCAGCATCAGCAGGAGGAGGAGGAGAAGGAGGTAAAGGAGGTAAAGGGGGTACCGGAGGAGCAGGAGCAGGAGGAGGAGACATATGAATAACTAAACAGGAGTACCAGTAGTAAGAGTCAAGTTATCCGGCCCGAACGAGCCAAGGGAACCCCGCCCGCTCCCACCCTCCCCTCCCCATGCAAGTCATCGCTGGTGTGATGGAGAGCGGGGCTGGCGCGCACCATCACTGGGCGAATGAAAGGCGCGGCGCGTGCGCGCGCCCCCACCTCCAGCGACCTGGCGATCGGAAAAACACGGGCTGCGCACAGAGAGCAGGACTCTCAGAACATCTCTGCGCGGCGTTCTGTACACAACACCATCCTGCTCTTCCGCACGCAACGACGCTTCCGATTGGACTGGCCAAGGAAATGCATGTGCCGAACCCAAATGGGAATGCAGCTTTCACGCGAAACCTGCGGGCACTGAAGCGAGAACGACACTTCGATTTCCTGGGCCCGGCCCCGCTTCCGACGACTGGGCAGGCGAAGCATATGCGTTGGGCCACAGAGACAGCGCCATCATCTACCAACATCTGTGCGGAGCTTGGGCGATGGAAATATATGAGTGCGAGCTCGAGCAAGGATGATAACTATTAGCCATCCTGTGGCCATCTTGGAAGCAGCGCTACGACGCTGTAGCGTGGGGTGGCCATCGCGTTGTATGCTTGTCGTGCTGTCCGTTTGGGGCTGTTTGAGGCTCTTGAGGTCCTCTCTCGGGGGCGTCTTGGGAGCTTAAGGGGGCCTTTCCGTAGCTTGTTGGGGTATTGGTGCAGTCTTGGGCGCGATTATTCCATCGAGCTCTCCGATAGAGCCCTTGAAAGCCTTATTGAGGCGCTCCTGGGCCATCCAAGAAAAGTTCGGGCTGTCCTGAGGCCATGTTGGACAATCTCATGTGCCTGACAGTCCATAGTTTTTCCCTGTCCCCATCCTCGTCCTGATCTCCCTTCCCAGCCCCCGTCCATGTTTCCGTCCCCGTCCCCGTCCCCGTCACTCCTCCCTGTTTCCCTCCAGCTTTGCGGCGACGCAGCTGCAAAACTCGGCAGAGCAGCGCTGGCGGCGGCAGTGGCAGAGGCGGGCAGTAGCAGCGGCGGCGTCAACAGCGGCAGCAGCGCCACGGCAGCAAGAGTAAACACGTAGCACCCCGCAGTCGCGGATAAGAGTGAGGGGGCGGCGATGACGTTTGCAGTCTGCGAGGCTCTGAAGAAGCCCGCCGCAGGCGCCTAATTTTTTCGCTTCGCTCATTCCGCCGGCCCATATTGCCTCGCCGCTGTCGTTTGACGGGGTTGTCTTGTCAATGAGGTGCGGTTGGGCGGCTGCCATTTTTCGGAGGCGGTGGGTGATGGGTCAGAGGCCTCACGGATGTTGGTTGGGCTCACGTGGTTGGCCTCTCAGCGGCCTGTGGGAGGCAGTTTTGAGGCCTCTTGGGGGCCGTGTTGGGGCCTCTTGGTGCCTCTTGGGGGCCCCTTGGGGGCCACTTAGGGGCCTCTTGTGGCCTCCTGGGGGCCTCTTGGGGCTGAAGGCTGGACTTTTCGGTTCCTGGTTCCCTTCTCGGGCCCCTCTTGGGGCTGTTTTGGGGCCCTCTTGGGCCGTCTTGGGCGTCTCTTGGGCTGTCTTGGGGCACTCTTGGGCCGTCTTGGGGCCATCTTGGAGGCTTCGTGGGCCGTCTTGGGGCGGTCTGGGAAGCCTCTTGGGCCGTCTTGGAGCGCCGGTAAGCCGAAAAGGCGAGAACGCCCAAAACCTTCGAAAACTCTAATGAAATCACAATTTTTTGCCTTTGTGGGCTCTCTTGGGAGCTATCTTGGAGGCCTCTTGGGGCGTCTTGCAGGCGCTTGGGGCTGTCTGGAGGCCATCTTTGGCGTCTTGGATCGCTCTTGAGCCGTCTCGGACCATGTTGAGCTCTCTGGGAGGCCACTTGAAGCGCTCCTGGAGCGCTCTTGGGAGCCTGCTGGGACCTGCCCGGGACCTGCCTTGAACCTGGCCGGGACCTGCCCTGGACCTTGCTGGGACCTTGCCGGGACCTTGCCAGGACCTTGCCAGGGTATTTTTCGTCCAGGCGAACTAGAAATACTGTTAACCAGTTACTGGAGATCTTCGCACGCTCTTGGCCCGTTGGGCCAGCGAATTGTAGCGCTCTTCGTTCGAGGATTGAGGTTCGTTGAAGCAGATTGGGGAAGGGGAGGAGGGGGAAGAGGGCAAGAGAAGGATGAAGAGGATGAGGAGGATGAGGAGGAGGAGGAGGAGGAGGAGGAGGAGGAGGAGGAGGAGGAGGAGGAGGAGGAAGGGGGGAGGGTAAGGATAAAGAGGAGGCCTCTCGATTCCTGTTGTGATGACTTATTGTAGCGCTGTTCGTTCGAGGATAGAGGGTCGTTAACGCAGAGGGGGGAGAAGGAGGAGAGGGAGGAAGAAGGAATGGTTAGTGAGACGATAGGAGGTCTGTCTGGGGCCTCTTGGCGGTGCGCTTTCGTTCGAGGATTGATGGTCGTTGACGCAGAGGAGGGAGAAGGAGGAGAGGGAAAAACGAAGGAAAGATTGGTGAGACAATAGGAGGCCTCTTTTTGGGCCTCTTGGCGGTATGTCTGGGACCTCCTTGGGCGGCACGGGGGCCTGGGGGCTTCTTGAGGGTCTTGGGGCCTCTCGGGGGCCTCTTGGGGGCTTCTTGGGGGCCTCTTGGGGCCTCCAGGGGGCCTCTCTGCGCCTAGAGCTCCAAATGTCCGTTCGGGTCCCTCGTCTGGGCCCTCTCTTAGAGCCGTCTTGGGAGCCTCAACGGCCATCTTGGAGGCCTCTGGGGCTGTCTTGGGGCCCTTAGGGGCCGTTGTGGGCGCTCTTGGAGGCCTTTTGGGCCGTGTTGGGGGGATCCTGGAAGCCTCTTGGGCCGTCTGGGAGCGCCGGTAAGTTCCCAAGGCGAGGACGCCAAAAACCTTCAACAATTGAAGGACAATCGCTAGTTTTTGTTTCTGTGGGCCCACATGGGAGGTCTCTTGAGGCCTCTTGTTGGTCTCTTGGGGCCTCTCTGGAGCCTCATGGGGGCTTCTAGGGGGGCTCTTGTGGCCTCCAGAGAACCTCTCTGCGCCTAGAGGTCGAAATGTCCGCCTGGGTCCCTCGTCTGGGCCCGATCTTGGAGCCGTCTTGGGAGCCTCTTCGGCCATCTTGGAAGCCTCTGGGGCTGTCTTGGGGCCCTTAGGGGCCGTTTTGGGCTCTCTTGGAGGCCTCTTGGGCCGTGTTGGGGGGATCCTGGAAGCCTCTTGGGCCGTCTGGGAGCGCCGGGAAGCTCCCAGGGCGAGAGCGCCAAAAACTTGCAAAAGTGGAGAAAAGTCACTCATTTCTGCTTCTGTGGGCCCTCTTATTCGGGAGGTCTCGTGGAGGCCTCTGGGAGAGTCTTGCAGGCGCTTCGGGCTGTCTGGAGGCCATCTTTGGCGTCTTGGATCGCTCTTGGGCCGTCTCGGGCCATGTTGAGCTCTCTTGGAGGCCACTTGAAGCGCTCCTGGAGCGCTCTTGGGAGCCTGCTGGGACTTGCCCTGGACCTTGCTGGGACTTGCCAGGACCTTGCCGGGACCTTGCCGGGACTTTGCCGGGGTACTTTTCGTCTGGGGACCCCCTGGGGCGGCCCCGCGCGCGCGAACTAGAATATTGTTAACCAGTCACCAGAGATCTTAGCACGCCCTTGGCCCGATGGGCCGGCGAATTCTTATACAAATTACACAACGAGCGCGCCGCAGGCGCCGATTTTTCGTTAAAGCAATGTGGGTAGGTCGCGGGGTGGGTCGCGGGTGGGTCGTGGGTGGGTCCCGGGTGGGTCGCGGGGCGGGTCGCGGGGTGGGTCGCGGGGTGGGTCGCGGGTGGTCGCGGCGGGTCGCGAGGTGTGTCGCGGGTGGGTCGCGGGCCAGGTCGCGGGGGGGACGACGCCAAGTAACAAAAATCTACAATCAAACAAACAAACGAACGAACCAACGAACAAACAAACAAACAAGCAAACACACAAACCAACACAAACAAACAAACTAACAAACCCAACAAACACATACTAATATCACGCAAGCAAACAAACAAGCAAACAACAAACAAACAAACAAACAAACAAACAAACAAACAAACAAACAAACAAACAAACAAACAAACAAACAAACAAACAAACAAACAAACAAACAGCAAAGCACACAAACAAACAACCAAACAAACAAACGAACAAACAAACAAACAACACGCAAAGCACCACCAACAATAATAATCCGCATCGCGGAATCCCATTTCAGCCATGCACCCAGGGACAGTGAATGACCCTTCGACCCCCTCACTCTTCGACTGACCTTTCGCCGGAGTGACCTTTGGTGCGGGCACAGATGGGTCCTCAGATGATTGAAAGCGAAGCGGTAACCAGCGGCTTGCGCGCCCAGGTTTGGTCTCCCTGCGGCCCCCAAAAAGCCGCGCACCAAAGGTCACTCTTACCCAGGGCCACTCTTACGTGTAGCCGAACTCTGACCAGCACGAAACGGCCGGAAGCAGGCCGGCGGTCGTTGGGCAGTGGCGCAGCACGAGGTGCGAGGGCGGCAGCAGCGACCGCTGGACAGGGGTGGCAGCCCCAGTACTCCGCGCGAGGTGCGACGCAGCGGGCACCCGACGTTGGATTTTCTTCGCACCGCGACTCCCCAGAAGTCTGGACCCCTGCCCCAGGGAGCGTTTCTTGTCATCCCGACGCGCCTATCCACGGCCCCGCGGCCCAGCAAGAGAGCCCCCCAGAGGCCGAACACGGCCGAAAGCTGCCCGTCAGGATCTTCCCGCCGAGGACCCCAGGGAAGGGGCGGCCGCTGGGCAGCGGGCGGCGACGCGGGTCTGGCCGCCCGCCGCAGGCCGCCTTCTACGAGCACGTCGAGCGCCTGTTGCGCGACAGGGGCGGAAGGCTCAGCGCCCCGCCGTCCCGCAGGCGCGCTCCCCGCCCTCGACGTCTCGCGCCTCCCCTTCCCCCCCACAGTTCATCCTCCTTCTTCTTCGCCCTTGCGCCCTTGCGCTCCTCCCTCCTCCCTCCTCCCTCTGCGTTGCCAGCATCTCTTTGCGCAGTCTGCTGTTGGCTCGATCGTGTTTTCGTTTCGTTTCGCAAGCGTCGAGCTCGTTCCTCTTTCAGGCCACGGTTCGGTGCGCGAGTTTGTGCATCGCAGGTCGGCTCGCGTGGTATTCCCAGTTTGTCTGGCTATCTTTTGATTCGCACAGCTGTCGAGGCCGAGGCTGGAGAAGCTTTGTGGTCGCGCCCCCTCCTCCTCCTCCTCCTCCTCCTCCTCCTCCTCCTCCTCCTCCTCCTCTCTCCTCCTCCTCCTCCTCCTCCTCCCTCCTCCTCCTCCCCCTCCCCCTCCCCGGAAAGGAACACCGGCTGCCCTTTCGAAAACGGCATTTGTCCGTTCCATCCTTGTGCGCGCCCCTGCCGCACATCGCTGTCCATCTTCGTGCGCGCTCCATCGCTGTCCATCGCTGTGCGCGCACCTCGCCCTTCCCCTGCCGCCCTGCTCCGCTGTCCTCCCCCCGACTTCCCTGCTCTCTTCCCGTCCGTCCGTCCCCGCTGCCGCCGTCGCCGCTGCCGTCGTCGTCGTCGTCCTCCTCCTCCGCCTCGTCCTCCTCCGTAGCCATTTTGCCTCAAGATGCTGCTGTCCCTCGTGCACGAAGCGGATACCTCTAGTCCGAGGCTTGCTCCCGTTCCAGGCAACCCCAGTCGAGCTGCGCGCTGCTGGGGCCAAGAGTCTGCTTCCTCCGACACGATCCCATGGGTCCGATCGGGTGCGACCGCCTGCACCCTGCTGTCCATCACATCGCAGTCCCTGGGGCGGATGCTGATACTGATCGCGCTGGCTCCACATCTGACGCCTCGGTGGGACAGCCACGGTCGGCATCGCGCATTGGAGGGAGTCCTGGAGCTTGGCGCGCCAACCGCGCTGCTGCCGCTGCTGCCGCTCGTGCTGGCCGTGCTCGTGCCACCCGATCGTGGACGTGTGGCTGGGAGAGACGGACCGCCAGCTGCGGCGTCCTCTGCCTCGCACCGCGGCGCGGACCCTGCCGCCTTCGCAGGAGGCTTCACCCACGAGCAGACGGAGCAGCTGGCCCACGACTTTGACGAGGTGGCGACGTTCCCCGACTCGCTGTCCAAGCAGACGCCGCAGGCTGCCCCAGATGGGGCTCCGCAGGGAGGCCCATCGGCTCCAAGCGGTGGCGCGGGGTGCCCGCGGCCCCGGCCCCTGGCAGCAGTACCTGGCCTCTGGCGGCCCCCCCTGGCGCCTGCTCGGGGACCCCCGCCCGAGGCTGCCGCGGTGAGGGCAGCGCCCCCGCGGTCCCCTGCGGCTGCTCCTGGTCCTCGGCTGCTGCCTGGTGCTGGTAACCAGCCTCCGAAGCAGCAGCAACTCATCCAGCAGCTACAGGCAGCCATCGTCAGCAGCATGGGCGCCTCCCTCTCCGCGGGCCTGGCCCAGATCTCCACGGTCATGGAAGCCCGCGTCGGCGCCGTCGAGCAGCTGGTCGCCTCCGTGGACCAGCGCACGGCCCTCATGGAGCAGCAGCTGCGTGCAGACATGGCGAAGCTCAGGGAGGAGATGGGCCTGCTGGCGAGCACGGAGCCGTTGTCCGCTGCTGCTAGTCTCGACTGGGACAGGGAGCCCGACTCGGCGGCGGTGGTCTTGCGATGCAAGGAGGACCTGCCCAAGGACACTTTCCTGGCGGCGGCGGCGCCGCTGCTGGCGGATGCTGGCCTGGGCGCAGACAGCTACCGCGTCGACGCGGGGCCCCTCGGCAAGCGCTGCACCCTGCGCTTCGAGAGCGCTCCCGAGCTGGCCGCCCGTCGCTCCCGCAAGGTCCTGGGCTGCATGCGCCTCGGCCCTGGCGAATGGAGTCGCCTCCGTGGCTCCGCGCCCGCCGGCCATGAGGCGGACGCCTCGGTCTCGTTGTACCAGAACCGTAAGCAGGTGGCCCACGAGCTGCTCTTCAAGCGCCTGGTTGTCGCGCTCGGACGGGTGGTCGTCGCATCGTCGTTGACAAGGCTGCGCGCGCCCTCATGCTCTCTTGGCGGTCATTCCTGCGGGTCTCCATCGCCGGCCCCTCGGCCACCCCGCAGGTCCACTGGTCGCCAGCGGCCCTCCAGGAGCTCGGGCTCAATCGTGCGGACCTCGAACCCACAGTTGCGGCGGTGCTGGCGCCGCAGAGGGAGAATTGGTGTCTTTAGCCGGTTCGCGCGGCTCTACGGGAAACCGCAAAAGGAGGCAGAGCTATGCTTCGCGACTTGGAACGCGAGGGCCTCCTGCCACCACCAGCCGCACACGGCCAATACTAATGTCGATTACATTTTCCCCAAGCTCCGTGCAGGGGCAATCATTTGCATGCAGGAGGTCCACGGGTCGTCCGTGCGCCTGCGTTCGCTGATTGACCGCGCGGGGCTAGACTACATGCTTTTCTCCAGCTTCGACTGCTTGGGGAACGAAGCGCGGGGAGGGGTGGCCACGGTGTTCTCCTTCCGAGCTCGCCCCCATGTTGTTTTCGTCATCGTTACTGTGTCTGTGCTAGAGCTTGGCGAGTGAGTGCTGTTGTGGAGGCTGGGGCTGGCACTGGCTACTCTCTCACCCACTGGAACGTACACGACCGCGACCTTTCGCGCGAGCAGGTTCGACGGGTTGCTGCTGCTGCCATTCGACGGGATCTTCTGCGCATGGAGAGCGACCCGCTCAAGCACGTTGTGATCATCTTGGGGGACTTCAACTACGGGGAGAACGCCGAGGTCGAGGATCCTCTTGCCCCTGGCGGCGGACCTCGCGCTGCTCTTCACCCTCGTGGGCGGCTGTGGCAGCATTGCCTCGGCGCTACTAGTGAGATGTTGTCGGGGAAGCCCACCCACTGGCATCAGGGACGCCAGCTGGCCATCACCATCGACAAGCTATGGATTGGTGCGCCGAGGTGGCTGCTTGCCCAGACGCGGCAACATACGCAAGTGCACGGTGAACCACGCGAACTCCACGTCCAGGACATCTCCGACCACGCCATGCTGTCGGTCGCCTGGTCGCCTCGCCCGTGCCGCCGACGCCCAGCCACGGGTATCGTCGCGCCGATCCCCGGGTCCATCCTCGGCCACCCGAGCTCTGCGAAGCTTGTGCGCACGTGCGAGGAGCAGGTCCCGCTGCATGAGCTGTCGCCGCCCGACCGTGCCCATGTGCACGTCGAGCTGCTGCAGCGCGGCGGCGGCGACGCGGGGCTCCACCCTCAGGGGTGACGCTGGTGGCGAGGCTCCCAATGCGATGGTCTGGCGTCAGCTCGGGCGTGCTGCCCGGCGCCGAAACGTCGCGGCGGCGGAGCGCCTCCTCCATCGCCACACCTGGACGGCACAGGTCCTCGAGCTTGAGGGCCAGGTGGCGGGCCGTCATGTGCGCGTCCGCGATCCTGCGGAGTTCGCCCGCCGCTATCGGCTTGCGCAGCACCGCGGCTTGCAGCCCCCCCTGCGTCGTCGGCAGGAGCTGGCCGACACGGGGCCCAACTTGGACGCCAAGGCCACCCTCATCCGCCAGCAGCGTGCTCTTCGGCGTCGTGCGGCGCTGTGGGCTCCTTCATCGGCTCGGCGCTTCCTTGGCGCCATCGAGCTGCCGGACGGCGTGGCCAGTGCGGAGCGGGAGGTGATGCGGGCGCTGGGCGACTACTGGCGTGGGGTCTTCGGCGGCGACACCAAGTCGAGGATGGAGCGCGCGGCCCGCCGTCTGCGTCTGCTCCATCGGCCGCCCTCTGCGGCCGTCCCCGGACCAACTGGCCCTCCCCTGCAAGCGAAGGCCTTCGTGAACGGTGCGCTGGTCAACGTCGCCCCCGAGGCGCCGCGGCGGGAGTTCCGCAAGTCCCGGCTCCAGTCGGAGTGCCCCGACGGGTGCGGCATCAAGGGCAGACGGTCTCGGCCCCAAGGGTTTGTTGGCCTCTTCGCTCGGCGTCGACACCCTGGCGAAGGCCATGCGCTGGCAGCTCGCTGGCCTCCCGATGCGCGCCCCCTGGAACTTCTCGGTCGCGGTCTTCCCTGCCAAAGGCGCCAGGCTGGAGGGCCCGATTGAGGTGTTCCGCCGTCCAGGCGAGACTCGACCGCTGGCGCTGGATATCAATTCGAAGAAGGCTGTTCTGTGGGCCATCAATCGGCACATGAATCCTGCGGTCGAGCAGCGCTTCGTGGCCGCGCAGCGCGGCTCCCTGCGTGGCCGTAACTTCTGCAACAACATCGCGGAGCTGGACGCCTACTCGTATGCTGGCGATGCGCGCTAGCGACTGGGAACTGGGCTCCTTCCCGATGCTCCTGGCATCCTGGCATTCAACTTCGGCCAGGCCTTCCCCGGCGTCGAGCGCGGCTGGATCTTCGCCACCCTGCGGGCCTCCCAAGCGCCGATTGGCCTGCAGGCGGCGCTGCGCGTCAACTACGACGGCGTCCAGAGCTTCGCCCCCTCTCGATCACACTAGCCGCTGTACATGGTCCGCTCGGGCATCCTGCAGGGCGACCCTGTCAGCGGCTCGCCGCGCGCGCTGGCCGCGCATGCGTTCGGCCGCGACATGGACATCCACGTGGCGCGAAGGCGTTGAACTCCATCGCCGTTGTCCTCAGGATGGCGCACCTCCTGGCCAACCTGCGGCTCAAGCCGACCAAGTGCCACGCCGTCCCGCTGGGTGTCCTGCCCTCGGAGGACCTCAGCACCGAGACCTCCTGCCGCCTGTCGGAGGTCTGCAGCGACTGTCGGGACTTCCTCGTCGGTGACTCCCTGGACTTCGGTGTGTTCCTGGGCCCTGGCGCCGACCCTGCCTCCCAGCGCGGTGGCTGGGTGGGTGGGTGGGTGGGTGGGTGGGTGGGGTGGGGTGGGGGGGGGGGGGGGGGGGCTCGCCGAGCTTCGCGAGTGGGTGGGTGAGGTGGCCTGCTCGAAGGCCGACCTGCACTCGCTGGCCCTGCTCTACGGCGAGCGGTGCGTCTCCGTCGTGGGCTACAAGGCGCAGCTGCTGGAGCCGCCCCCCGAGCTGCGGCGGCTGGAGATGGCGTTGCTGCCCAAGCTGCTGCGGCTCCCAGGCGCCTTCCTTTGCGACGGCGGGTGGCGCGGGCCCCCGTCGGTCGGTTTGCCCGCGCCCGACGGCCACGACCTGGGCGCAGGCGTGCCTCGTCAGGGCAGCCGCGACGACCCCCCGCGCTTGTGGCGCAGGTGGAGGCCGCGGTCCTCTGGGAGGCGGCGGAGCTGCACTGCCCGTGGTGCGTTGGCGGGGGGGGGGGGGGGGGGGGGGGGTGGGGGGGGGGGGGGGGTGGGGGGGGGGGGGGGCGGCCGTGGCCGTCCTGGCGGCGCTCAGAGGCCGTGGCGGTCACGCTGCAGCGCGCGGCGTCCCCTGTCGGCGAGTCTCCGAGGGCGCAGGTGGTGAGGGCGTTGGCTGCGGGCGCCGCAGGACGCCCATGGGAGAGGCGGCGCCGCGCCTCCAGTGCGGCCGCAGGCAATCATCTACTCCTCCCTCCTGCGATCGCCCCTCGCGCCCCCTCCTCGCCTGCGCGCCCGTCTGGCCCGTAGATCGCAGTGCTGGTTTGGAGTCCATGCTGCTGACGTCGCGGCGATCGACTGGTCGGCCGTTGCCTCGGTGATGCTTCGCCTCCCGCCCTCGCGGCGAAGTGCTTGCATCAAGACCTCGGGGGGGGGGGGGGGGGGGGCGCTGAGTCGAGGATGCGTAGCCCATATCGTGGTTGCATCTGGGGGTGTCCAGGGGCTCGGGGCTCGCTGAAGCATTACTTTTGCCACTGTTGTCCCATGTATATGCTCGCTCGCAGGCAGCTTAATTCCGATCTCCCCACGCCCCCCTTTTTGGACCCCCTTCCTGGCTCTGGGACTGATCCTCTCTGGACCCGACACCTTCAAGTTTGCTGCCTTGTTTTTCAGTTGTATAGGCTTGCTCGCCAGGAGGGTCAGATCTGCCATCTCCCTTTTAACGATATTGACGCTCCTTCGCTCGTTCGGGCGGCCCGTCAAGCGGTCGAAATGCCCCTCGGCGGTAAGCGTCACAGGCGACCCCGCCCTCTGAGGCGGTGGTCCGGGAAGACTCGCGGCCCCCCCCAGACGCTCCAACCTCCGCCTCGTCCTCCTCTTCGTCGTCCTCCTCCTCCTCCTTCTGCTCCTCCTCCTTCTCGTCTTCGTCGTCGTCGTCGTCTGCGTCGTCGTCGTCGTCGTCGTCGTCGTCGTCGTCGTGGTCGTTGACGTGTGCGTCGTCGTCGACGTCGTCGTCGGGGTCGTGGTTGTCGCCGCTGCCGTCGAGGTCGTCGTCGTGGTCGTGGTCGTGGTCGTGGTCGTCGTCGTCGTGGTGGTCGTCGTCGTCGTGGGCGTGGTCGTGGTCGCGTGCGTCGTCGTCGTCGTCGTCGTCGTCGTCGTTGTCGTGCTAATGTCAATGGTAATGTTGACGATCGCCATGGACACTGACTCTCAAGCCTTTTTCTGTCCGGATAAGGATGCCGGTCGACCCGTCCACAGTCGCCTGCGCGTTCTCCATCGGCTCCTTCTGCCTCCTGGCGCGGTCCGCGCCGCCCGCGCCCATCTGCGGCTGCCAGTGCGACTGCGGGGCCCCTGGCTGGTCCACCGCCCAGCTGCTCGCCGTCGCGGTGGGGCAGCTCGTGACGGGCTGGTTCGCGGCCCGCTGGTGGACGCCGCCGCGGCCAGCGGCGCCGCTCGTGGTGGCAGCGGGCATCGAGGCGCCCAAGCAGCTGACGCTGCCGGCTGGGGCGCGCGGCAGGCTTGAGGGCGGGGCTCCTCCGCTCGCCTGATGTCGGATGGCCTCTCTGTGGCAGCGGGGCGCCGCTTCTGGGCCCTGTTCGACGCGGCCGAGGCGGTCTGGCACGAGCGCCTCGTCCTTCGCCGCACCGCTGGCGGCCACGTGGTGCTCACGCCAGATGGCGACGTGTACGAGGAGCTGCTGGAGGACTACGAGGATGCGCTGCCTAGTGGTGTTGCTGGTGGCATTCCGAACCGCCTCTCTGGGCACAAGGCACTCCGCTATGCCTTCCGCCCAGGGGACATCGCCGATGCCAGCGCCTTCCGCCGGCGGGCCGAGGCCTATCTGGCTGGCTGGGCTACCGCCCCGCCAGCGGCCGATGGAGGCGGGCCGGGGCCCGCGCCGATTGCCGACGCCGGCGCCGTGCCCGCCGCCGCGGCCGGCGCGCTGGCGGCTGCTGCTGACGTGGACCCTGCCTTCTACGACCCCGGCTCGCTGGCGGCCGGCCCACAGCTGCATCGTGGGCTCCGAGTGGTTCTTCGGCGAGAATCAGGGCCCCCGCAGGCGCTGCGAGGGGGTCACCATCCGCGACTCGGATATCGCCTTCGGCCCTTCGGGTCAGGCCCTGCTGTGCCGCCATGGAGTGTGGTACCACCTCTGCCGCGACCCGCCCACGCCGTTGCCTGCTGACGAGGGCGAGGTGGCCGCGGCGGAGGACATTCGCACGCTGGCGGTCGAGTACAACGTACGCGGGGATCGTACCCGCAGTTTTGAGTCAGCGCGCCACCTGTTGCGCGAGGAGATGCTGGACGATGCCTGGCCAGTTGGGCCCCCGCACCGTGCAGTGGCTCGTCGAGGCCTTCGCCAACAGCGGCATGGCCCCGGTGCCGCGACACCACTGGTGGAGGCAGGCGCTGGGGGCGACGTCCTCGGACCCAGGGATCGACGAGTACCTCTTCCTTTCGGAGTGCATCCAGCAGGGGCTGCAGTGCGACCAGCTCCACATCTGCAACTTGGCCTGCTTTGAAAGCATGTCCCGCCGCTATCAGCTCTGGGAGGAGCGGTGCCAGGAGCGGATCCGCGCCTCCACGGAGGGCTCGGTGGCGGCGGGGCTCGCGGCCGAGAGGCACCTGTTCCTCGGCGGCGACCGCGCCAAGGGCTACGCGCCCATCTCGCCCGAGCTGGAGCGCTGGGTGGCGAAGCGCATGGAGGAGCAGGCTGCCGTGCTCAAGGAGCGCCGCAAGGGCCGCGAGGAGCGTGCTCTGGCGGCGGCGGCCTCAGGCGGCGGCGGCGGCGGCGGCGGCGGCGCTGGCCCGACGATCGGCGCCGACCACAAGAAGAAGCCCAAGGACAACAAGAAGAACAAAGACGGCCAGACTGGCACCCCGGGCGCAGGCTCGGGGGGGCAGGGCTGACGCCCTTCACTTCCGTGCCACCCTGCAGCGGCCCTGGAGCTCCCCCGGCTGGGCGCCGCTTTTACACCGCCAGGGGGGGCGGCCGAGCGCTCGCGCCGCCGCTATGCCGCCAGGTCTTGCGGCAGATCCCAGGGACCTGCTTCCGCTGCCAGAGCCCGCCTTGCCTGCGCCGCGTCATGGGGATGCGCTGGGCTCGGAGTGGCTCTCGGCAGGCTTGCAGACCTTCAATGAGATGGGATGGCGCGGCGCTGTTCGGCGGGCTGGAGCAGCCTCTGGTCCCCAGGCCGACGCGCTGGAGCGGCTTTGCAGCTCCTGCGCCGCCGTGCCCAGCTGCCCGACGGACCTGGCCGCCGACTCGGCCACTCGCGCCGTGATCGGCTCCGATCCCGGCTATGGATTTGACGACATGGCCAGCGGGAAGTACGCCACCTATCAGCGCGGGAAGGTCTCACTTCCGCGCGTGGCCTCCGGCGCGGTGGAGCTAGCTGCTGCACTGCCGGCGGGGCCCCGCTCCTCGCTGATGGGTGAGTCTGGCACCTTGCTGACGAGGGGCCCCGCATCTTCCTCGTCGTTGGCGAAATTGGCTTTCGACCGAAGGCTTGCAAGCAATCCACGCACTTACGGGAAGTTTTTGGCTGATCTGCTCGAGCGCGACATGCTCGAGGTTGGCACTTCGTTCTCGCAGGTGGCGCCCTTCTTTGTCTACAAGAAGGACGGGGCCCTCAGGCTGATCTTCGACTTCATGGCCTCGAACACGGAGTTCGCTGAGCCCGACTACGTCCCCTTGGCAGCGGCGCAGGCCCTCGGCAGTATCGAGCTGCAGGCGGGGGGGCGCCTCTTCGTGGCCCAGGGCGACGTCACGTGCTGCTTCTACCAGTTCTTGCTGCCAGTGCACCTGCGTGAGGCCTTTGGCCTGCCGCCCGTGCCCTGGGCCGCGCTGCCGCTCGCCGCTCGTCAGCTGGTTGGGGCGCGCCCGCCTGATGGTATGGTGCATTTGCGCCTTAGAGTGGCGCCGATGGGCTGGTCATGGGCTGTCTACTTCATACAGCATGTCATGATGGAGATCCTTCGCCCCTGCGCCCCGGCGGACCGCTGGCTGGCCCAGCACGTGCCGCGCGAGCCTGTCTGCCCCGGCTCGGGGGCCTCGTTGATCTACATCGACAACTTCGCGGCCCTTGGCACGAGCGCCTCGGAGGCGAACGCTCGCCTGGGGCACATGCTGGGCGCCGTGGAGGCCGCTGGAGTGGACGCCTCGCCGGAGCCTGCCGGCGCGCCGCTGCTCGGGTTCGAGCTGGACTCGACTGGCACCCAGTGGCGGCCGACGGCGAGGAAGTTCTGGAAGGTCGCACTGGCCCTCCGCACTCTGGGCTGGGGGCGCCAGCGCCGCACGGGGCGGCAGATCGCACGCGCCGTCGGCCACGCCTCGGCCATCATGCTGCTGCGGCCGGAGATGCTGTCCATCTTCTCGGCCGTGTACGTCTTCGCCGACCGCTACTTCGGGCAGCCGGCACGCGTGTGGGCCTCTGTGCGGCGCGAGCTCCGAGCTGCCTGGGCGCTGCTGCCGCTCGCCGTCGCCGACATGAGCCTGCCCTGGGCGCCCGCTGTCGCCTCGGTTGACGCCTCGCTGCGCGGCTTCGGCGTCACCGAGAAGGTCTGGCACCCCGCCGAGGTGGGCCGCGTCGGCCGCGCCTCGGAGCGGGGGCGGTACCGAGGGGCGCTTCGCACCTCCCGCCGCCCGCGCTGCCTGGTCGAGGGGGGGGAGGCTGAGCCCTCGCTGCGCGACATCGTCGACGCCTCGGACGAGCAGCTGCGTGCGCTGGGGCTGCGCTCCGCCTTCGAGGAGGTGCCGTCGGCCCTGGCACGCGGCGACGACTGGGGCGTGGTGGCAGCCCGCCGCTGGAGGCGCAAGGACAAGTTCCTGGCGCTCGAGGCGGAGGCAGCCCTCTGGCAGGTTCGGCGGCTGGCTCGAAGCCGTCAGAGCGCACAGAAGCGGCACTTAGTTTTGTCTGACTCAATGGCCTGGGTCCTCACCTCGTGCAAGGGACGGAGTTCTTCGTGGTACCTGCTTCGGAGGTGCCGCGAGTTTTGCGCTATGAGCTTGGCCCTCGGAGCACGTGTTTCTTTTCGGTGGATTCCCTCGGAGTGGAACTCGGCGGGCGAGCCCAGCAGGAGATATGACCCATCGTCGTCTCATCATGCTCGTCACTTTCACACTGCACTTGCCCCCTCTGCTGATCGCCCAGGGAACGTCGATCTCGGTCGCCAGCCGCCGCCTCGGCTCGAGGATGATTGCGGGGGCGCGCCCTTCTCACGGCCGCTCGCGCTCGCCGAGGCGCGGCTCCACGGGCCAGCGGGTGCTGCAGGGCTTCGCGAGCAGCTCGCGGCAGGGCGCTCCAGGCGGCAGGCCTTTGCGGGGCCGTTCGCCGCGGGGCTCCCCGGGCCCGAGCCCGCTGCTCTGTAGGGCGCTGGTGCCAGCGCGGAGCCAGAGGCCGAGCCGGGCCCCGTCGTCCCCGAGCCGGGTGCTGCGCCCTCGGGTGGCGCCAGAGCCGGAGGGCGGCGAGGCCAGCGGGAGGCCGCGGCTGGAGGGCATCGCCCCGCCGCGCCGCCACGCCTGCCCGAGCGGCCGCCCCCGCCCGAGCGGTTGCGTCCCGAGCCTTCACGCATCTCGGGGCGCACTTCCGCGGGAGGGGCGCGCCAGGCTGCGCGCGGCGTTCCCATCCCAGCCCTCTCTGCAGCCCGCGCTGGCTCTGGGCCGGCTGCCCTGCCGCGCGCTGGCTGCTGCTGGCCCCCTGGGCTCGGGCCGCCGTCCTGCGCCGGGACGCCTGGTCCCCTGTCGCGGGGGGGCCGGCGCGGCGCGCCGGCAGCGCCGCGAGACGGCGCGGCGGCGCCCGGGCTCAGCGCTGCACTCAGCCGCCTGCAGCGCGGAGGAGGCGGAGGAGCTGGGGTTCCACATCGGCTCCCTGGCCGCCGCGGCCGTGACGCCGGCGACGCAGGACAACTACTTGAACGCCTTGCGCAAGCTGCTGGCGTGGATGCACGAGACCAAGGCCCCCCAGCGCTTCCCTGCGAGCGAGTGGGACCTGCTGCTGGAGCAGTACGTGGAGTTCCTGCACGACCGCGGGCTGCCAGAGGGGGATGCCGCCAGCACGCTGGCTGCAGTGCGCTGGGCGCTGCCCGAGCTGCCCCGCCCGCTGCGCCGGGGCCTGCCACTGGCGACGGCTGCGGTCACAGGCTGGCGCCGGCTCGAGAAGCCGCTGTCGCGCCCGCCAGTCCCTCGGTCGCTGGCCATACTGATGGCCCTGCGGCTCTGTGCCGACAGCAAGGCGGACTGCGCCCTCTTCCTGCTGCTGACGTTCGAGACGTACATGCGGCCGAGCGAGGCGCTCAGCCTCCTCGGCCTACAGCTGGTGCCGCCCGTGCCGGGCGAGAAGGGGGCGTGCCGCTTCTGGGCCATCCTGATCCGCGCGAGCGAGCTAGACGTGCTTGGCAAGACCGGCGAGTTCGACACCAGCGTCGCCCTGGACCTGCCGCGGCACCGCCTGCTGGAGCCTGCGCTGCGCCTGCTGAAGGCCAACAGGGGGGAGCGGGAGAGGCTCTTCACGTTCTGCTACACCGACCTCCTCCAGGTCTGGAACAGCTGTCTCAACAGCCTGGGCCTGGCGCAGCTGAAGGTGACGCCGTACTCCCTCCGGCACGGGGGGGCCTCGGAGGACGTGTCCTCCATGTCGCGGGCTCTCCTCGACGTTCAGAAGAGGGGCGGGCGGCGCTCGCTCCAGAGCGTGCGGCGCTACGAGAAGCACGCCAGGCTGGGCTTGATGATGCGCCGCATCCCCGCGCAGCTGCGCGAGGAGGCGCAGCGCCGCGAGCGCGAGCTGGCCCGGCTCTTGCTGCCGGCCTGCGTGCGGCGCGTGCTGATGCTACCATGCTGAAGCACAGCGTCTTCGTGGACCTCTTCGCTGGCACTGCGCCGGTGAGCAGGTACTTGCGCCGCAAGGGCTACGCCTGCATCGCCTTCGACAAGCTGCAGGGGCCGCAGTTTGACCTTGGCCGTCGCGAGGTCGTGCTGACCATCGCGGGCTGGATGCGCGCGGGCCTGGTGTGGGCGCTGTGGTTTGCGACGCCGTGCATCACCGCGACTCGGGCTCGCACCGACAGGTCAGGTCGCATGCCGCCGCCGCTGAGATCGTCTGAGCACTACCGTGGCTTGCCGGATTTGTCTGCTCGTCACCGCGCCCAGGTGCGCGATGCCAATAGTCTGATCGACGCGGGGGGCCGCCTCCAGCAGCTCGCCTGGGATCTGGGAATCTGCTGCGGCGAGGAAAACCCACAAACCTCCATCCTCTGGTGCTTTCCCTCGCGGTGCCGGGCTATCGCTCGCGGCTCCGCGGTCGATGTGGATTTCTGTGCTGCTGGAGGTCCCATGCGCAAAAGGACCAAGCTCGTTTTTCAGCATTGTGGCACTGTCGAGGCCCCGCGCCTGCGATGTCATGGTCGTGGTGGGCTCTGTTCGTTCACTGGCCGTAAACGTGTGCACATCCGTGGGAAGATGGGAGGACAATGGCTCTCTAAAGTTGCAGAGCCATACCCTCCTGTGATAGCTAAATTCATCGGCGATGTCCTCATTCATGTAGTCCATCGCCGTGCTGTGGCCACGCTCAGCCAATTGTGAATTGCCTCGCTCAGCCAGCTTACTGCACATAAATGGCGTGATTACGGGATTTCAGTCTCTGTGCCTGCGCCTGCGCTATCTCGGTGTGTGCGCGGGGTCCCGCATGATAAATCGCCAGCGTCGCACTTCGACTGACAAAAAGTGCTGGCCAGAGAGCGGGTCATGCTAATGTCAATGGTAATGTTGACGATCGCCATGGACACTGACTCTCAAGCCTTTTTCTGTCCGCCCAAAGCCAGCCCTCGCCTCGACAAACTTTTTGATGTGGATTTCAGTCTCTGTGCCTGCGCCTGCGCTATCTCGGTGTGTGCGCGGGGTCCCGCATGATAAATCGCCAGCGTCGCACTTCGACTGACAAAAAGTGCTGGCCAGAGAGCGGGTCATGGTCGTCGTCGTCGTTGTCGTCTTCGCTGTCGTCGACATCGTCGTCGTCGCCGCTGCCGCCGCCGCTGCCATCGTGATCGTCGTGCGTGGTCGTCGTGGTCGTGGTCGTGGTCGTGGTCGGTCGTCGTCGAGGTCGTGGTCGTGGTCGTGGTCGTGGTCGTGGTCGTGGTCGTGGTCGTGGTCGTGATCGTCGTCGTCGTTGTCGTCGTGGTCGTCGTCGTCGTCGTCATTGTCGTCGTGGTCGTCGTGGTCGTCGTCGTCGTCGTCGTCGTCATCGTTGTCGTCGTCGTCGTCGTCGTCGTCGTCGTCGTCGTCGTCGTCGTCGTCATCGTCGTCATCGTCGTCGTCGTCGTCGTCGTCGTCGTCGTCACTCATCCGTCGTGGTCGTCGTCGTCGTCGTCATCACGTTCGTCGTCCTTTTCTTACTCATCTGTCCCGTCCTCGCGCGCCTCACCTTTTTCAGAATGACATTGGCCGTTGGGTCAATGTTAGTCCTCGTAGCGCGAGCTTCCCATCATACAATTGGGGCGCGCATCAAGAAACCATATGCTTTTCGTCAGGGTATTCTGTGTGTCTTCGCTCCGCGCGCTGCGCGGTGACGACCCGCAGCCGTTGAAGAGGCCACTTCGCTCAGGGTGCTCCAGGTTTCCCCTCAGATGTACCTCGCGCGCGGGTTTTCGGGGGAAGTGAGAAGGAGAAGGCCTTCTCAGAAGGCTCGGAAGTCCCTCGGCCTTTTGAAAAGCTTGCTGAGCCTTCCCCGAAGACAAGAACCACTTCTCAGCAGGCGCGAGGGCTCCTGAGAGGTCCCGCCGCCTCCTGAGAAGGCCTTCTCCTCATCGCCTCCCCCCCTCGCTCGCCGCCACTTCCAGGGCCGGGCTTCCGGCGAGGGCTGCTCGCGGCCGCGCCCGCCCTGTGCAGCCGGGGCGGATCCGTGCCGTGGGCACTGCCGCCCCCCGCGCCCCCCTTGGCCTGCTCTTGCCCCCCCCGCGGCCTCGGAGGCCCGGGCCCCCTTCCCCCGTGGGCCGCCCCTCCTCCTCCTCCTCCTCCTCCTCCTCCTCCTCCTCCCCTCCTCCTCCTCCTCCTCCTCCTCCTCCTCCTCCTCCTCCTAGCCTCCTTCCTCCTCCTCCTCCTCCTCCTCCTCCTCCTCCTCCTCCTCCTCCCAGGTCGAGGACCCCCGCGCCCCCGTCGGCTTCCCCCGTGGGCCGCCCCCTGCCCCGGCCTGCCTCTGGATGGCCCTGCGGGCTCGGAAGCGGCCCGGGGGAGGCCGAGGGGAACGACGAGCGCCCAGGGACCGAGCTCGACTGCGAGCGAGAGTGACCTCTCGCCAGAGTGACCTTCGTTGCGGGCCCAATGGGGTCCCCCGATCGCCGCTCGCGGAGCGATGACAGCGGCTTGCGCGCCCGGGCTTGGCCACCCCGCGCCCTGTCGAGTTGCGCACCGCAGGTCGCTCTGGCCCAGGGTCATTCTTACGCGTAGCCGATGAAAGCATCAGATCGCCGGATACTTGGGAACACCGCCGTTGTGCACCGCCGTCGCTGCCGCACCGCGTGCGTCGATCGGCAGGGCGCGCACCAAGGGCCACTCCGGCGGAGGCCCCCCCCGGATCCGCCCCCTTCACGAGAGGGTCGCGCCCTTCGGCGATCCCTCGCGGTCAGCGGCCCAAAGTGCTTGTGGGGTGCTGAGATGCTGCCGGCAGCCCCGACCACCAGCACGACGACCATCACGACCATCGGGGGAGCGTAAGACCCGGGTTTGCCAGGACTCGGGTTCGCCATCGTTTTTTGACGACCGCGCCTCGGATTTTGACGAGGAGGAGTTTCGTGGGATGTCTGCAGCGGGAGGCCTCGTCAAAATGCAGGCTCGGCCTCGTCATTTTTTTGACGACCTCGTCGGGGATTTCCGAGTCCCCCGTACCCGGGTCTTACGTCCCCCTGACGGTCACCACGACCACCACGACCACCCCCCACGCTTACCATGACCACCGCGACCGCCTTAAACCGAGGCACGGCCGCCTTCACGGCAACCACTTCGGCGATGCGCCCAATTTGGGTCGTCACACGTTGCGTCGCGCGCGCGCTCGCGTGGGCTCGGCCGTCCGCGCGCGCCGCCGGGGAGCAGCCGCTGCCTTCGTAGTCGTAGCCAGATTTCGCATCGTTGCGCCCTTTGACCATTGCTTGCGTTGTCCTTGGTTCTTCCAGCGAGCGGCCGCCCGAGCACCCCTCGGGGCGAAGATTCTCCACGCCCGAGGCCTCCCTCCGTGGTCCTCCTCCGCGGCCGCCCTCCTGCTGGCAACCGCCTTGCTGCTGACCAACAGGCGTCGGCCGTGTTCACCTGGGCGTCTTTACAGCTCCACCGCCACCACAGCAGCTGTATTTCCCCAAACATTGGCGACGGCATCGTGCGGGACAGCATGCAATCATGTCAGAGGCATGTGCAGCGATGGTCGTGACACTTCTGCATCATGATCGCCTCATGCGCAGCACATCGAGCGGAACGCTTCAAGGATATCAGTGGCAACCGCGTCAACAACCATCGCGGGAATCCAACGAGAAAAAGCGGTCGTGGCATGCGGAAACACAACCCCGCATACAAAGATGTGCCAATTCACGCTCGAGTTCTAGCTCCGCCTTTGCCACATTCCCGAGGTTCCGTGGCAATTTTGGATTTAGCCAGGTTGGCTCAATTTTCAAACGCCTTGGCCTGGGCCCTGGAGCTTGGTCGCTGCCGAAGTCCTGGCTCCGACCACCGATTTCGAGGCACAGGGCCTCCACGCACTCATGCGCCCGATCACGCTTCGTCTCCTTCTCCTCTTAAGCCGTTTTTTCCCGCGCCACTCAGACATGGGTGGCAAGCATCACCATCGGAGCGAAGCCCGTCGTGACCGTCGCTCTTCCCCACCTCCTGCCTCGACGCCGTTTGCTTCGATGCGCAGGTCAGCTACCGCAGCGCGAGGAGCTCCTCGCCGCGGGACCACCCCTTCCGCGATCTCGAAGTTCGACGCCATCATGGGCAGCATCCAGAACATCCCGCAAATTTAGATGCAGAGTGCTGGTGCTGTCTAGCTCTTGTGTGCTGCCGTGACGTCTAGCCCGGTTCGGTGCGGAAAGCCTGCTCGCCACGTGGCGCCTCTGAGCAGAGAGCACCACAACAAGCACAGCGAGCTCAGAAGCCAGCTCGACCACGCCATTCGCGACCAAAGCTCCCGCATCGACAACATGTTTCAGGTCATGAGGGAGGGCCAGAACCTTCCCATCGGCGACGACGACATGACCGACTCCCACCTGCCCACGCTCTCGTCCAAGCTCGACTAGATCGAGACCCAGGTGAAGACGCTTGCCAGCGCTCAGAAGATCATGGAGAGCCACCTCTGTGAGCTGCGGCCGTCTCCTACAATGCCTCCGCCGATGGCCAGTCATGGTGCTATTGGCCGCCCTCCTGCTGGGGAAGTTCCTCAGCATCAGGTTCGCAAACTCGTACTTCTTGGATTTCCGCGTCCCCTTCTAGCGCCCGATGTTGGCGAGGTATGCTCCAGGAGCCGCGCCGCTTGTGCCCCTTCAGCTGACCAGCCCCAAACCATTGTTCGTGTGCTGTATCATCTGTTTATCGACGTGCCTTTCACAGAACCTGTTCCCCTGGGGCCTTTGCGGGCACTGGCCGCCGGACCTGCTGGAGGATTTGAAGCGCAAGCTTCTTGCGTTTGTCGTTGTTGGCGAGCTAAGACTTCCAGCCGAGATTAGGTGAGGGATTCCAGCCAAGCGGAGAAGGGGCTTCAAATCTTGCTTTTGGAGCTGACCCTGGAGCCGTAGGAGCTGACCCTGGGCATCTTGCCGTTGGAGCTGACCCAATCCAGCCGCGCCCTGTGTGCTCCGCCCGATCTGAAGAAGCCCATCGTCGTCGTCGTCACCCTCGCGCCAGTCGGGGGGTCCTTGTCGCGCGACGTCGATCGCGACGACGACGAGCTGTTTGATCGAGCCTCCAGCGCCCCGCGGGCCCCCGAGCAATGGAATGTCCGTGGGCCCTCGAGCAGCCGGCGACGTTGTCAGCCGAACAAGCCCAGCTCTAGTGCCCCCCCCGCCCATCCCATGACCACGTCGCCCATGCCACGGC